ATATAAATAATAGAGTACTTATTTTTAATACTTTTTCATTATTTATACAACAACGCAAAATAGAATTGTGAATAGATTTTTTATTTAGTGCCTTCATTTTGGTGCCCCATCATCAAGCATCGTTAAGTATAGTAAATAATAGGCATTTTTTTTATTTAATATTAAATAATGATATTCCGATTTTTGAAAGGTGATAATAACATTGAGAAATTCAGTCACATATAGAAATGTAATTGTAATTTTGTTATTATTACTATTATTATTATTTATGTACATTTTGTAAAAACAAAAACAATAAAAAATGTATTTTCCCAATAAATTTAAAATGATAAATACTGTGCTTGCATCACCCATAAATATCATTTGTGAATTCATTCATTTATTTTGTTTAAGAAGGTAGCTAGCAAAATATTTTGAAGAATTACAAAAAAATGAACTTGCTTCATTTCATAAACATGAGATCGTCTCAACAAAAAATAAAAGAAAAACTGTTCTGGAACACATAATAGAAGTGAAACTTCAACGGACAAGTGGAAAAACGAATTGCAACAAAATTTTTACTTCAAGTTTTATGGGCAGATTGTTAATGTACTTGTTCAATTTGAACACCTGCCCGTAAAACTTCAAGTTTCACTTCTACAATGTGTCCCAGTACACATTTCTTTTTCACTAGTTTACTGCAAATTATGATTTGGTTTTTACACAGACCGCAAATAGAGGCAGTAATGCCCAGCCACGTGGAGAGCAGAGGTAAGAAAACTACAGCTGAGCACTGCACACGCCGCCGGTACTTTAGCAAACTCCCCACTCACCGCGCGACTGCGCATTATATCCAACTAATACAGCTGTTGCCCTCTCTTCGCCGTCGTCAGCTTTTCTCTCCCACCGCCGCTTCCGCGTCTCACATCGCGATATACAGTCTACGCCATCCACTCGGCTGTAACGCTTTTTTCTAACTGAAAAAAAAACGTAATACCTTCCGTCTATATAGAAGCTTCACTTCAATAATAGATTATTCGATCACTACAATTACTCATATTTCAAGTAGTTACGAAATCAATCGAACGATTTACGATCGATTGATGCTATCTCGTTTTTGCCAGTATCAACCGAATGACGAACGATGAATCTGTTTCTTTTTCAGTTGAGTTCTAGTGACTAGCCGTTCTAAATTGCAAAGTTTACCCACACTCCCTTTAGTCTTTTTTTTTATGTTTTCGTGGAAGAGGGGAAATTTTCAAAAGACACGCAGCCGTCCTTACGACTGGGTAGTGTCGGATTCCCGAGGAAGAAGTCGTCGGACCTACCGACTATCCCTTTAGTATCTTTATCCTTCTTTATCTATATTGACTCGCTCGTACTGCTGCTGCAAAATGATCAATATTTATTATAAAAACGAATAGGTATTAAATAAATAAACACATGTCGGTACCGGTATGTAAATATTATAAATTAGTAATGTTATTAAATATTTACAGCGTCGATTTTAATAATGGCATATCTAAAGGAACTTTCAACAAAAATCAATCTGAAAATAATTTATAGTGATAAATCGTCGATTCACTTTTGTTATATCTAGAATGCCAAATCATCATCCTCAAAGTAACGGTGATTGTTCAAGTGCAGGTGTAGTTTGCAAACCACGAACGTAACGTCATCGTTAGAAAGAAAATCTTTCGAATAATCGCTGAATTGTTAATATCCATTAAGTGATAATTTTTTCGATTATTAGAATTCTCTACAGTTCTATATTTTATACATAGAATATACAAAAACTGATAAAACAATTCTGATATCATTATTTAGTTACATCCAAGTAACAGATCTATATTTGGTCAGTCCTGGTCAGATAATGCCTAGCTGTTTAAAACCAAACTAATAGTGCTCAATAGCCTATGGAGTAGCACACATCACAAAATAATGAAAATAGATGTACTGCATTGGTCTTTGCAGAGATGTGGAAAATGGTTTTTTAAAAGTATTTAAATACAAAATTTAAATACTTTTGTAATTTATTATTTGAAACGTAAAATACAAAACAGATTTCCCTTTTACATTTTAAATGCTAAACACAAAATACGTACTTTCAAAATACTTTTTTCAAATACAGTGGATTTATGTATAACGACATCGCAGGGACTACTGTAATTACAACGTTAAATCCGAAAGTCATTATAGGTAAAGGTAAAGAGATACAGGCATGTGTGTATAGTTTTCACCATTTTTCAGTTTTGAAACGATTTCCGCGTTTTTTATTTCAACAGTAAATATGCATCTAGGAGTCATACTTATTCAAAAGTTTACTTAACAGAATATTACTTTATAACCGATTCATTTTAACGTACAGTCTTGCCTACCTACCTACCTTGCCAACATCTATAAGCAAACAGTAAAAGTCACCACACTTGTTAGAAATGATTCGCTAAAAGCAGTCGCTACACCCGAACTCGGCGTTACATCCGATGTCGCTATATCCGCATGAATTTTGTACTAAAGTATGATTTAAATTCAGGGGACTTAGGTTTAACGCCGCTATGGCAAAATGGTCGCTATAACCAAGGTCGTAATAAATGAAATCCACTGTAAATACTTTTTTGTAGTAGGTTTTAATGTTTAATTTTCTACATTCATTTAAGTATAAAATATTTTTTAAGAAAACCTTGCAGGCATTTTCTCATTTTGCCGAAAAAAAGATACTGATGTCAAAATAGTATGCACCATCAATCATTTTAAATCAAAATATTTACCACCCCTCTTTTACACATTGTAATAAGAGAAGGAAATGGAATCCATAGGTTCTTTAGCTTTGGGTTCATCTAATAAGTAAAGTTCTTTGAATCGTTTCCTAAGAATTTTGGATTATAAGCATTTATTAGCACACCAAAATATTTTGTAGCTTTCAGTTTTACACAGCTGGCGTACTTATATCAATTCGATATTGTTTTGCGAGCTTTTTTGTTGTAGTTCATAGAATTTCATAAGTTTTTGCTTAAGGTGCGATAAGTGGTGATTTGGCAGGTGGTGATATGAATTCGGTTCAAAATTCTATGGACCATGACATTGAATCCGGAAAACAATATCGATCCAATATTTTAGATATCCATTTCAAAGGAGTTTAGAAGTTTTTGGGTTCTCTTCAGTTAAAGAATTAGAAAGCATTCATGGAACGTCTCTTTGTCCTCCTTTTAAGCTTCTAATACCTTTAATGTCCAATGTGAACAACTTTCATTCATCATTTTATATAATGTTTGGTCGATGATACTAGCAAAACTTTTAACGGCAAAAATGTATTTAGCATTTTACAAATAAAAAATAGGTTTGGAAAAGTATTTTAAATAAAATACAAAATGTTTTTTTCAAAAAAGTATTTAAATGCAAAATAAAAATAGGTATTTCAAATAAATCACATCTCTGGGTTTTAGTTCATTCAATTAATTTTAGAATAACAAACATTAGTTATACTTTATTTATATCAATATTAGTATTGTTTTCTCAAAGTAACAAGTTACTCATTTAAGTTAAGGTAATGCTATATTTAATCAAATGTTGTGGGTAGCGACGTAAAATCATCCTGATTTCGTGAATATAATAAGTACGTATTAATGAAAGTATTTACTAAAACTGAATAATTTGACCTTATAAATACAATCCTATAGACACTTTTAAACGAAATTTGAAATCACATATGTATATTTGATTCAGGGAGATATTTTGGGATCTGTTTACATTACAAATGGGTATAGGTATTTATAAATATGCAAGTGAGAAAGGTACCATAATAAAATCAATTTTTCAGCCAGTTTAGTCAGAGTGTTATTTCTATCGTCTCTATTATTAGAACATTTACAAATTCTACCCATCTTTTACGCACCTACGATTCCTGAATTTATAAAGAAGAGAGCGACCGAGAATAAGCCATCCAAACAAGTGAATTTGCTTTTTTTAAAACGCATCACATAAAATACAAAGTTTGATTATATAGGTATATAAACGAACGACCCAAATTTAGATATTCAGTATTTTGTGTTCTTTTGCGTAAAACGCACACACTTTTCGCTTTTAACTTACCAAACGTAAGTAGTTTGTGCTTTTTTCTTCTGCTAATTATCTAGTTACAGTTGATTGTTAAATAATCTATTTTTTAATAAGAAATTTTTATTTTCTTTTATTTTTTTAAATCTACAAATCAGTGTATACTAGTCTATCTATATTGTATGCCTTTAACCAATCGTGTATTTCCAATAATTTAATTTAAATTATTGTAATTAAAATAATATTTTTTTGTTTATAATCGTATTTCGGGGTATTTATATTTTTAATGGTCAAGTTTGACGAAATGTAACATTTTGATGACGCATTATTTTTAATTTTCTTTTGTTGAATATTTTTCCATTTTAATTTATATTTTATTTATTACTTAATACATATCTATTACTTGATGTACATATGCAGATGTCGATGGTACCTCTAATATTTCGAGACTGGTGGGACGATTTCGACATTAGCCGTCCTTCCAGACTTCTAGATCAACATTTTGGCACTCAACTCAATAAAGATGAATTGCTGGACAGTTTTTCGTCAACTTTAAGATCTCGGCCATCTTTATTGAGCCGTTATTATAACAGACCTTGGAGAACTGCTCTCGCCCGACAAGATTCTGGATCAACTATTCAAAGTGACAAAGACAAATTTCAAGTTATTCTTGATGTACAACAATTTACCCCCAACGAAATTACCGTTAAAACGTCCGGAAACAGCATCGTTGTCGAAGGAAAACATGACGAAAAACAGGACGAACACGGATTTGTTTCTAGGCATTTTGTTAGAAGGTATGTATCTTTTTGAATTAGATAATAAAAAATAAATAATAAATTCGGTCTAACTGATGAAATGCTAACGAAAATGAGTGCTAGAACATAGATAAATAATTAGTTAGGTATACTTCCTTCAGTTTCTCCAGCGATGTGACCTTCGGTTTGACCGGCGCAAAGTAGAAAAGAACAGCACTAGGCCAGAAAATAAAGAAGACAACTCTCGGCCAAATTCGTAACCGGTGAGAAGCGTACAATCCGTACAGTACTGCACGGAAAAATTGATCATTTTATCCACTAAAATTGCATTGCTAAAATGTGCTGTTATTAGTACCATTTACTACTGAAAATATCAACGATATGTTTATTTATATTTGAAGACATATAAAGGGTTTAACGCTTGTTGTCGACTCGCACTACTATCATGATTGAACAAAACTTTTAGCAGGTACTGTATGAAAAAGTATGTTTAATGAACAAGAGGCGAGAGTATAATGAGCTTTTTTCTCCCTACCTACGATTTTGCCAGCGCGCATCCAAGACATTGGAAGGGGCATATCGTTAGAGAAAATAAACGAAGTATACTAAAGAGAGTACCGTCAGATAAGCACATCAATTGTTTTATTTCTGTATGTTGTTGCAGTTTATATAGGAAGTATAATTTCACTTCAGCTTGTAATTATTATGGGAGGTGAAAACCAGGGTCGTAGGCAGAGTGTGTAGTCAGGATAGTCTTAAAAATAGTTCAGGGCAGGCAGAATAATAAATATTCCCACATTTATTCGTATATGTAGATAAAAAGAAAAGTCTGACTCATTTAGTTACTGACTCATCAACGCCCAGATTAAACTCTTGAACCTATATAGTTGAAAATTTTCGCATAGGTTTCCTTTATATTGTGTAGAAGGAATAATGGAGGATATTTCGAAATTCAACCCCTAAGAGGGTGAAAAGCGAGTCAAAATTTGAATGGAACATTTTTGTTGAAATCGGAATTGAAACTTACGATTAGACTTAAGGCACATTGATACAATTATGCAAACACGTATTTCTGCAATTTTTAAGGTGGTCAGATTTACTTATGGTCTATATATTTCGCAATGCTTTCGTTAATTTTTGTTGATTCTTTATCTTTTTTGTTAGAACAAAATCTTAAATCAGGATGGGAACTGTAGGAATTTCACTGTAAATCATATTTTTCGTTATTACTATTTATTGGTGGAACCCATTTGGTAGTAATTTTATTGCAAACTGGTCGGGGTTCTTAGCCTGTCCTTGACTGGTAAAGACCAATTTTTAAAAATTTGAAAAAAAAAATTAAATATGGAATCTTACAATTAAATTTATTGTAGGTGTAATATAATAGTTTAATGAAAAAATTGACAAACCGGAACTGACTTTCTGATTTAGGATTTTAAGACAATTAGCGATTCTAATTTATAATAGTACATCATCGTCTGTGCCCTGCACAAAATGCCTATACTTATTGACATCAAGAAATATTCTTTTTGAGGTTATTGAAAATTTTTCGCTTTGTCGATTTTTTTATTAAATTCATTTTTTTCATAAACTACAAAAATTGTTTTTCAAAAGTAGAATAATACCTATGTGACCACGGGATTTTATGCCAAACTAATTAGAAACATCAAGATTTAAAAAATCAATAGGTATATTACGAAAAATGTAATTTGAATAGCTTCGGACTACTTCATGAAAATTCATGATATCAAATAATGCCTGTTTCAAGAAGCCAATGCATTTTCTAACAGATATGTTAGGTATAACGGGCATAATATTATAAATTACTTTTTTTTAAGGTACGTTTTACCTGAGGATCATGACATCAACGATGTAGTATCCAGTCTTTCATCGGACGGGGTGCTAACTGTAACCGCTCCGAAAAGAAAAGTACAGCAAACCGGTGAAAGAGTTGTTCCAATCACTCAAACGGGCCCAGCCAAAGCCACAGTAACACCTTTAATTGAAGAAAAATCTTAAAACGATACGCTTTTATTAATTTAATTTAAGGGCATCATGAATGTAATTTATAAAATAATAATGCATGTAAGTTTAATGTAAATAAAAAAAATATTGTTATTAACACCAATTTTATTATTTGAATTTTTCTATGGTAATTTTCTTGCCACAATTGTTGTAAAATGATTGCAAGATTCGGTTCTGCAACAATAATATCTAAACAATATCCGATACAGCACAGTTAATACGATATATTTTGTTTGTTAACTAGTATAACCTGTCCAATTATCGATGATAGAAAGTATAGAATTTACAATTTAATCAAAAGTCTACTAAAGGTTATATGCTTGTTTAAATAATAAAAATTCTCGTTACAAATATCTATAATATCGTGTTTTGCTGACATTTATAATTTTTGTTGTAACGCAGGAAATGTATCAGGCAAATCAGACACATGTTTGCGCAATGGTTTCATTATTAACCCTCGTTATTGTCAACTGCATGGCATGTTGATATTGCCAGCAACAGGCTTGTTTTAATGACGTTAAAACACTCTAAGGTGGCTTTAATCAACTTAAAATCGTATGAATATAAAGCTGCGATTGATTTTTTCAAAGTTGTTATGGATATATTTTTAAATTTGTATGCTCGCGAACGGTTAATTTAGAAATTCGAAAAAGGTTGTTAAAGGTGTATGTTTGGAGCGCGGCGTTGTACTGGTGCGAAACATGGACAGTGGGCGCAGCGGAAAAGAAAAGATTAGAAGCCTTCGAAATGTGGTGTTTTAGGCGAATGATGAGGATAACGTGGATAGAAAAGGCTAGAAATGAAGAGGACTCTATAGAAGCCAATAAAAAATAGGCGAGATAGGTTGGTAGGACACCTTCTCAGGCATGAAGGTCTACTCAGAGACATATTAGAGGCAGAGACAGGAGTTAGGAGAGGTAGAGGTAGACCTAGGTTAGATTACTGTTCACAAATAGTTAAGGATGTCGGTTGTTCTAGTTTTAGAGAAGTGCGAAGATTAGCTCAGGATAGGAAAGAGTGGAGGTACGTGTCCAACCAGTCTTAGGACTGACGACGCTATGATGATGATGAATATGCTTATTCTCGATACACAAAAGTTTTTTATTACAGAACAGAAATTTTGTATTTTTGTTAACTGGAAGATTATCACAGGATTGTCTAGATTTATTTTCTCAGATCAGATTTGTGCAAGTAATACCGAATGCTCATCAGTTTAAACGAGCTTTAAAACATTACAATTTCTCAATACCTCAAGTTGATCCAACGGAACTTGAAACTTGACGAAACTCTTGTGCCTGGTTGGATCGACTTGCGAGTTTCGATGATTTAGGGAGCCGGACTATAGGTTCAACCATAATGGGGGGGGGGGTTCTTAAAGAGAAACCAGACTAAGACAAGTCCCCGAAAGAGGGCAGCAGCTCTTTCAGTACTCAGGATGGAAGAGATCACGAGAATCGGTAAGGCATTCTGATGCACAATACTGCAATGTGGAAGGCATCGGGAAACTACAACATTATGATCCCGAGTAAAACGTATCACACAGGTGAAATAATGGCGTTCTTTTGGGTAAAACACTCCAAACGTAAACTATTCGGATGTCCGGGCGCGGACTACCTCGGGGGATGTCATCAATAAGTGCAATAGTGATAGGTGCAATAAGTCGGAGGGTGAAATGTAATGGACAATGAGGCAAGTAACGAAATTAGAAAAATTAAAAGTAGAGATAAATAGATTAGAATTAGATATAGTAGGAATTAGTAAAGTCCGTTGGCCCGAAGCTGGAGACTTCTGGAGTGGAGACTTTAGAGTAATACATGCAGGATCGGCGGAAGGTAATTCGGGGGTAAGAATTGTAATGCGTAGGAAAGTAGGACAGAGTGTAGAAAGTTATTTACAAAAAAGCGATAAGATAATTATGTTTAAATTAAACTATAAGCTGGTAAAAACGGTATTAGTGCAGTTCTACATCTCTACATCATCTTACAGTGGTGGAGACGTAGAAGCGGCAGATATAGAAGACGTGTTAAGTTTAGTGAAGGGGCAGGAAAACCGAATAGTTGTAGGAGACTTCAACGCAATAACAGGTGAAGGTAAAGTAGGTGCAATAACAGATTCTTTTTGATTAGGCAATAGAAATGATAGGGGAGATAGGCTGATAGAATTTTGCGATAAACATAACTAAACCATATTATTATATCTTATACTTTATTCAACCATCACGTTAGGAGGTGTTATACGTGGAAGATGCCAGGTGATTTAGGGATATATCAGTTAGATTACACTCTTGTTAGGCAAATCAGGTGAAGGACTATAGGAGTAATCCAGGAGCAGATATAGATAGCGATTATAAGTTAGTAGTTATGAAGACCAATCTTATATTGAAAATTAAGGAAAAGAGGGAATATACGAGATGTCTTGACTTAGAAAAGATAAAATGTAACTTTAAATAAAATGGTATTGACAAAACAGTACTGTATGAAAATAAATAAAAGTAAAAATAAAATACTGATATGCAAGGGAAGAAAAAGTAGGGAAGGAGCGAGTATAAAGATAGAAGACGAAAAATTAGAGGAAGTGGCTGATTTTAGGTATCTAGGTCGTCAGATAAGTCAGGAGTAGTAGAGGATAGCGCAGGGTCGTGTCGTCTTTAATAAAAAGAAATCACTTCTACGCTCGCGAACGGTTAATTTAGAAATTTGAAAATGGTTGTTAAAGGTGTGTTTGGAGCGCGGCGTTGTACGGGTGCGAAACATGGACAGTAGCCGCGGTGGAAAAGAAAAAGTTAGAAGCGTGGTGTTACAGGCGAATGATGAGGATACCGTGGATAGAGAAGGTTAGAAATGAAGAGGTATCAGAAAAAATAGGAGAGCAGAGAACTCTATGGAAGTCAGCAAGATATAGGCGAGATAGGTTAGTTAGTCTCAGACATAAAGGTCTAGTCAGAGACATAATAGAGGCAGAAACGGAAGTTAGGAGGGGTTGAGGTAGATCTAGATTTGAATACTGTTCGCAAATAGTTAAGGATAGTTTTGGGGAAATGCGAAGATTAGCTCTGGATAGGAAAGAGTGGAGGTGCGTGTCCAATTAGTCTTAGGACTGACAACCTTATGATGATGATGATGAACACTCAAAAGCGTTTCATTATTCAATTATTTGGAAGATGATAAGAATTTTTATTAGATTTTGGCGATATCAATAAAAGTTAATTTTTTTTTCTTAGAGCATTAAAACAAAAGCTTATTTAATGTTTATTATTATTAATTTATTTTTTACTATTTGATTTTTGCCGGATTTATGTATAACGACATCGCANCTATTTGATTTTTGCCGGACATGCTTCTAAGTTTGTTAATTTCATCGGCTGAAACATGGTTTAAAAATTCAACTCCGTAGGATAAGGGCAAGTGGTTCTAATTCAGCTAGCAAGTTGAATAAAAGCTTACAAAAATAATAAAAAGTCTTTTTAGGTAGCGAAACTCAACACGCACATTCTACATGAGGTACTTGTTAATTTTATTATTCGATTTATGTAGTCATTCCTTAATAAACAACTTTTAAGTAAGCGACTTATCTATTATATTTCTCATACACGCATAAGCGTATTGTCCTCACTAAAGGATCTAAACTCCAAAGCAGATTTGTAAACCGAGCCATTGAGAACAATAACCCCATCTCATCAAATACATTAAAACACATACCTCTCAGACTTAAACGTAAACCCAAAAACAAAATACCCTTTCCCCCCGCCAAACTTCTGGCAATAACCCCTACAATCCCAGACGAATACTCTGAATATTTAGACAACCTCCCTCCTTCAATAAAATAACATAACAATCCTAAAACACTACCATGATCACACCGGCTGAAGAGGACCCTAGTTGGTGCTAAAACGGCTTGAGGTAGAGGGGTTTTAGTCGGTAGGTCCGAGGACTTCTTCCTCGGGAATCCGACACTACCCTNGTTCGCAGTTATCTATGTTCACAGTTCATAACCTTATCTATGTTCATAACCTTATAATATGAAGTCATCTAATTGTTAAAGATTTTATAATACATTCCTCAATATTTAATTAAATTAAATTTAAATATTATTAGAATGAACTAATTTTAAGTTTTGAAATTATATGAAAAAAGCTTTTCCGAGTTTCATTTCTATTAGTTATAAATGATAGTGGACGGGTAGTCCCGTACAGTTCAAAACTGGAGAATAGGGCAAAAAGCACTCTCTTTCTTCTTTTTAAGAACCGTAGGAATGGGGTAGTGGTCGGGGAAAGATAAGTGAAACGATAGGCGAAATAAAGACTCAAGAGAAGTGAATGTTTATCTGTGGAATATTACTTATTTTTAGGGTCGTAAGAACATTTTTTTATTAAATTATCCTAGTCTTCCTTTAGTCTTGCTCCCATTGATCTCTTAGTGGTTCCTCTGTAAACCTTTCCGCAGGAAATGGTATGCGGTAGACCCTGAGGCTGAAAGGGAGCCCTTTTGTCTTTAGCTGAACTGATGGTCTACTAGATCTTCTTCGTAGCTTTGAAGATGGTTCTGATGCCGCGTTTCTTTAGGACTCTATCAATTCAGTCCGTGAACTTTGGAACACTTGGTAGATATATTAAGATATATTAGAGAGGTAGTGTGTCGTTCGTTGATCTCTGGTGCCTTTAATCTGTTTATTTTTGGTTCCAAATTACAACAGATCGACGTCAGTCCCTTCTTTGCTGAAAATGTTCGAGGGTTTTAACCACAGCAAGTAGCTCTCGACGAATGACACAATAATTTTGTTCTTGCTTCGAAAGTATTTACTAAAGTACCCGATGACCTTTTCCTTTCTCTCTTGTACACCATCAAGTTCCACATTACTGTGTCGGTATCAATGGCGAAAGGTTAGCTGAACTGTGCGTATGTCAGAATTGGAGATCCAGAGAGTATAATCTTCAAATTGTCAAATGCTTCTTGGAATGAAATTCCATATCCTGTAAGTTTGTAAATCCTTATATTAATCTTCGGTAGTAGGAGCAGAATCCCAAAAAACTTCTAAGTTCGTGTCGATCTTTTAATATGGGTCAACATCGTATGGCATCCGTTTTGTCGGTCCCAATTCCTTCCGATATTATGGCAAGACGTAGATATTTCACTTCCTTTCTAAACAGGATTCATTTCTTGAGACTTAGCTTCAATTCTTCTTCCTAGCAAACCAAACAGATTCTCCAGATTAGTACTTGTAACAGTGTCCATGAGTCTTTCAAATGTAGCCGGTATATTGCACATTCCAAATAGAATCATATTGAACTACCATACACCATTTCCAGTTGTAAAAGCAGTTTTCTCCTTATTCTGCGGAAGCACATCCACTTTTCAAATTAAAAGTAAAGAATCATTGAGCTTCAGGTTAACTGTCAACTGCCCTTCTGCGTTATATCGTTCAGCTTCCAGGCGTCTACACAAAATCTCGTGGAACAATCTTTCTTATGTACTAGCACTATAGGGGAGGCCTAAGGACTTTAAGATGGTTTTATCACCTCTTGCTTATGCATGCCTTGTATAAGGTTATTGACTTTCCCTTGCTTCGTTTAAGGAACTCTTCTGGGTGGTAGTTTGATGGGTCTTGCTGTTCCACAGTTGATGGGGTGGTATGTTAAATTAGTTTTGATCTGAATGGGCGAAGACATGTTGGAAACGGTTAAGAAGTTCTTGTAATTGCGTGACCTGGTGCTTGTTCAGATGGTTACTTGACCTTTTCACCAGTTAATAAGCAATTGAATGGTAGACAACAGTTGTCACGATGGTGATGGGTAAAATTATGATTCGGTGTGAAAGGCCTTGGTTTATATGAACTGTTAGGTTTAGACGTGGGCGCTGAAGATTTTAACCACAATTGCCAACGAAAGCGTCAGGACCTAGCAATTTATTTTGGTCATGGTCCTTTAACCCGAATCTTAATTCTACAATACCATTAATTCTGGCTGTGAAAACGTGTTCTTATACTGATGGGTTACTCAATACTCAGTTTGAAGTTTTAAGTTGCAAGTCGAAATTTTGAGTTTCAAGTAGGAATTTTGAATTACAAGTCGAAATTTTAAAAAAAGAGTATGGTCCTTTATATTAATCAACATCACGATTATTAATTAATTATTAATTCAACGCTATATCGCACACTTTGTCGATTTTTGGCTCTTTCCATTTCGTTTCGTATCACCTTGTAACTGGAACTCGTGCTACTAACTGTTTCGATCTGACGGTAACTATTTATAAGGACCAGTCTTGTTCTAGAAAGATCCAAAACGTGACGTCTAGAAAGTCTAGTCTTTTTTACCACTGTGTCGTTTGGGTTGCCTGCATGTAGTAATATGAAGATTGGACTGTTTTCTATAGTCTTCATATCTGTAGCGAACATACTAGTTATCATTGAGATCAGCACTTATGCTTGCTTATGTTTATAACTATGGTCAGACCATCGACGTTTAGTAATGGACATGCCTTAGCGGCCAGAATTGTGACACAACAAAAGAAAGAAATGGAACGAAGTTTCGGACAATATCCATCTCCCTTACGATACTGCGAAAGCGTGTCCTGAAAGAGATAGCAGTAGTCCGAAACCATATGCCATCTCCCTCACTTTTCGAGCCAAGAAATTATTATAGCAACATACGGCTAAGGCACGTTCATAGATAAGGCACGTTCAATAATGTATATCTATGGCTCACACGTTCGCAGTTATCTATGTTCACAGTTCATAACCTTATCTATGTTCATAACCTTATAATATGAAGTCATCTAATTGTTAAAGATTTTATAATTGTAGTTATACCGGCAGATTAATAAAAACCAGAATGTCGAATGTATTACAGGTAGTTTTAAGAAGTTCTCTCCGTAATTCTCGTAATATTGGTATAGCTCAATTTCGACTTGAAAGTAGGTGAGATTGCACATGTTGTACGCCCTCAAACTAATTTACTTTTTGTAGATATTAGGACGTTATTTTCGGCAGCAAATCTTGGAATCGATAAGTTTATTGAAGTACGAGAAAATGTAAGAAGGCAATTAGGCGATATATCATCAAAATTTAAGGATAAAATGCAACAATATTCAAATGAGAGCTCCACTTCCATGATTTTTACAGAGGACTTAAAAAATATGATATATCTGACCAATAATGATGAAGATGTTCAGATTGTGGCGCAAATGATGAAAAAGTTAGTGTGTATTTATACATCTACTGTATTAAAATAATTTCTTAAAACCATCTTTAGGTTTAATCAGCAGAATAAGCAATTACGTTTTGGAAATTTTATATTTGGCCCTGTAGTTATGAGAATGTTTCATGTATTGAATAAGCCTGAAGAAGCTATAAGTGTGGGTTTGTTAACTGTAGTACTGAAACTTTGAGGTAATATGTACTAAATTATTTTTAGTGCTTTAAATCAGCAGAATTGCAAGGTTTCTTTGATCAGCTGATGTCCTATCAAATATTACTTGATTTACTTTATGAGAACCAGAAGTTCAATGAAATGCTGGAGATTTTCAAGAGTATACAAGAGAAACAGTTGCAAGGGATAAAATTTCCAAAAAATTCTGTAGTCTTGGTTCTTGCTGCTTGTTATAGATTGGTAAACAATATAGATGAAGTATTTTTGTCATCTAAGTTGTATATTTGAAAACTTTTAGAACACTCCTGAAAGTTATGATTATGCAGCAAAATTGTGGCAAGAATTAAATGAAGTGGGTCATCAGTCAATGCGTAGAGCAATTACTTTCTTTGCAGGTTTAGCTTTAAATCAAGGACATCCAGAACAGGCCATTGAGATTATTAGTTCTTGTAATAATCAAAACTATACAACTATTCGAAATATTAAAGTATGTAATTGTTAGCAGAATCTAAGTGAACATAATCTAATTTTTTATGTTAAAGGTTTCAGCATTGTGTGATCTGGGACGCGTAGAAGACTGTATTCCACTTATTAAAAGTGTTTTAAATACCGATACACCTTCACAAAACACTGTTCAAACATTTAACAAAGATGTGATTGAAAAAGTGAAGGCAGCAATTGAGAAAAGTAATAGTGATGAATTAAAATCAGAAATGAATAGAATAGAGAAATTTTTACAAGAGGAGGGACATATTTCACAGTTGGTAAGATACTTTATTTATTTATTGGAGCAGAAGAACTGTTACACAGTATTATACATAATAAATGATTTTACTAAATGGCAAACCAACTGTGTACAGAAACAAAACGTAGAGCATATTCATATTAACATGAACATCATTATAGAGGATATTCATGGCAACTACAGTAAATGCTTAATAGTGTGAACCCAAAAAAAGCCAGTTGATTTGTTCACATTAACAAATATTTTATTAATATGTATAATTAACAAAATGAACATGTGCAAATATATAAAACACTAATATATGCTCACTAAAAGTCACTTGTGGTTGAGACTATAATTTTTCCCCAAAAATTTTTAAAAAACGAATTCCAAACCAATTTTTTTAATTATTTTCACTTATGTGTGAATTAATTAATTTAATATTTCACTGGTTAAAAAACCAAAAGCAATAAATTCTATAATTTAACTTTTCTAAGAACTTCACGAAGATGGAATAATATAATAATAAGCAATTAATTAGTGAATGCTAATAGTAGAGCAAAAAAGATACTTACTATTTCCTGTTGTTTCTTGTTACCATTGTATTACTAATAGTTTTTTTTTANATAGTTTTTTCGAATAAATACTGTTTTATAATAAATAAATAAAAAAATCAGAAGGACTGCTTACCGTTTGTCTTTTGTTTCTGTTGTTAATATTTTATGAGATTAAAATTAAGTTTATTTATGTTGTAGACTCTGGATGAACAGTTGTGTTCAGAAATATCTACCCCTAGACTACAAAGGAACCAAGGTCAGCAATTCAGGAATCAATTTGGTGGTTTTAGACAGTCAAGAGTACAAAGATCTGTGGGAGGATTGACTAGACCAGGATTATCTGATATTGCTTAATTTTAAAAATTTATTTATGTAATGTTTAGTTATTTTTAATAAATAGTTGTAAAAAATACCCGATTTTTTTTATTTTTAATTTATCACAAATTTACTTAATATATGTATACTATTATCAGAACCCTAAGTTATTATTACAAAAATCTAACAAAACATCTTACTGTAAAAATACATCGTGCGTGAATCTTTCTTATCTGTGCCCTATCACTAAGGAAGTACTACCACTATTATACAGTTCCTTATTTATTTACATTGTATTCCCTTGTATTTACTTTAATATGATTGATAATCCTGAAAAAATAGAGTAAAACAAATTATTTTTCAAATAACTGACTGTTAATAATACAGTAAATACAATGGAATGTAAAATAATTAGGACAAAATAGTGTAGGGAGACTTTAGCAAATGTTACAAAAAAAATAAAATAATATATCCTTCACATTTACAACGGGAAAAAATAAAATCAATTCATTTTCTTCCTGTTTGTGTTTCCGGAGATTTTGGTTCAAAGTAAAATTACATTCACCTACCATTTAATTCAATTATATTAAACTGTGAGCCTTTAACAATGCTAGATTAATTCAAATTAGGAAGTAATCTGATTAATACCTTTTAAATTAATTAAGTAACAATTTTAATAAACTCATCAACATGGTATTTTTAAATTAATTATTTTATATCTGATTATTTTATTATTTCGACTACTTACTTTCTTTATCCATTGCATTTCTTTCCTGGATCCTGCAATTATTGTGTCGATCATATGTAGGTGCGACATATTGTCATCGCGTGTTCCTCTGTTTTTACTTCTCCACATAGTCTGCATAAGTTTTAGCTATCTTATACCCAGTATCTGCTTGCTTTCCATTCATTACTCGCTTCTGAAATTTGCAATCATTTTTTTGGTTTTTATTTTTCCTTTTTTACAGATATAACGGAAATTATTGTCTCTATCAATAATTTTCGGAGTTTTTCGAATTTCTTATACGCTTTTCGGATTCTTCCCTCTTTACCTCTGGGCACCTATTCTAATAAAGGTACTTTTCAAAAATATATTTCTACTTCATATAACACCATACTTTTCACCAAAACATAAAACATTAGAACTCTCTTTTTGTTTACATCATAGCTGCTGCCGCTGTACTTATACAACAATTGTTTATATGCACTCTATTACCATTGTCTTTTTTAAATGTAAATTGTAAGTATTGTAATTGTGAAGGGTTTAGAAACTTTTACAATTAAATATGCTTAAAAAAAATTACTGCAAAGCAAACATTGATATAAACCCACCATGTATCGAAGAAGCGTACTTGTACTTCACTATGTCACAATAAATCAAATTTATCTGCTTAATTTATTTAGCATATAATCACTTTAATCTTATATTAAAAGCGATTTTATAACTTAGAATGACTTGTTAACATTTTAACCATAATTAATTAATTATTTAAAAATATAATAATATAATAATAATCTTAGCCTACCTTATTAGATAATTAGGGAACGTAGAAATGACAGAGAACTATCACAAGTTGAGTAAAGACGGTAAACCGTCTCATCACCCTGCATCTTGGTGATCTTGTCTTTGACTCGTTAGTCTCGATTTCTTGATTTGACTACGATTATCATTAATTTTAATTTTTGATTCCGCTATTTAAACATTTGCTAATTGACCTACTAACACAATAGGTAAGTAGGTGCAGTTTTAAATAAATAAACAATTTAGATGTATCAACTTTGTACCAGTGACCTGAATTTAAATATATGCATACTATGTAACATCTCCTTGTTGCAGAAAAATCGCGTCCCTGCGATTTTGTTACCTCTTTCATATTTCTACAATTGAATTTACAGGAGTTAAAAATTATCACAATTCTACAGTCATTTGAACTATGCATTATCCCTATTTCATCTTAATAGCCTTTTAATATCTAATACATACAACACTAACACTGAGCACAAACTTCTTCTGTTTCCATAATTTCTTCATTACCTTTTATTGACCATCTGTCAGAAGAACTACCATATCCATCTCGATTTGTCAAAAATACCATTAGCAAAACCATATCGACCAGCAATTGCAGATTCACTTCTTTATCTACCCTTTTGTGACCAACCATATTTGTTAGTGAAAACACTCTTCCATCTTACTGCATAATCATATTCATCTTGGCATACCATGACGAAGTAAATTTAGCTTCTACTTCGGGAAGAACATAGCAGGTGTCAATAGTACTCCTGGTACTTGTAGACTTCGGTGTAGGGTTTACATGGATAACCCAATACCAGTGCCGCTTACACTTGATGATTCCGTGAACATTTTCTAAGACATTATATTATCACTTGGTAGACTATAGGGAGATTTAGAGCTGTAGTGGTTCATTGGTCCAACTTCCATATAAGGAGTTTTGACTTCTCACGTTTTGCTTTTTTCGACGATGTGGTGGTTATTGATAATAAAAGGCATCTAATTATTTGCTTATTGTGCTCCGTGTTGTATAATTATATGGTAATGAAAAAATATTTATTGATATAATCTGCGTGGATTTAATTCTGATACCGTTAGATTACATATTATGTCCCCATTCAATCGAAGTTACACAATACTTTCTTTTAATAATTTATTTTCTTTTTAAATTACTCATATCAAAATGAATCAATTAAATAAACAAAAATGAAAAACTTAAAGTTTAGTTAAGTATATCGATTTATAATAATGATCTTTTTAATACATTATTAATTTAAAAATACAAATGTAAACATGACCTACTGTACTTCACCTATATTTTCATATGCTTAAGTCTAGAGATGTGTAAAATGGTTTTTTAAAAGTATTTAAATACAAAATNCTTTATATCCCTACTACTCCTTCCATCCTCACTTATCTGACTTCCTAGGTATCTAAAATCAGCCACTTCTAATTTTTCGTCTCCTATCTTTATGCAAATGCAAATTATGTATTTTTAAAATACGTTTTTCAAATAAATACTTTTTTTGTAGTAGCTATTTAATTTTCTACATTCCTTAAGTATAAAATATTTATTAAGAAAACCTTGCAGGCTTTTTCTCAGTTTTAAAATATTGGGAGTTTTTCTAGACTAATAGTTTCTTCAGTTCAGTAACAAATAATTCTTCTATACCTAGGCTTCCTTATTTACCTTTGTCAACCGTTTTAATTGGAATAATGCCAAAATAATTTGTTTACCGTGAAAGATCAGAGCCAAAATAGGGTTGCAAATAATTTTATTGATATAAAATCGACATCAATCATATTATCAAAATATTTTGTTTCTGGTCTCTTATACATTGTAATAAAAGAAAGAAATGGAATCCATAGTTGCTTTAGCTTTGGGTTCATCTAATAAGTGACGTTTTCGGAATTGTTTTCTAAGAATTTTGGATTATAGGCATTTGTTAACACACCACAATATTTTGTAGTTTTCAGTTTTACACATCTGGCGTATATCAGTTCCACATTACTTTGCAGTTTGTTTTGTCGTAATTCATAGAATTTCGTAGTTCCTTGCTAGAGGTAAGATAAGTGGCGACTTGGCGGGTGCTGAACCCGGAAAACAATATCGATCCAATATTTTAGATTATCAATTTCCTAGGAGTTTAGATTTCTTTGGGCTTTCTTCAATTGAAGAATTAGAAAGCCTTCAACGAATGTCTCTTCGCTCATTTTTCAAACTTCTAATACCTTCAATGGCCAATGTGAGCAACTTTCGTTCATCACTACATAATATAAAACAAAGTCGCTTTCCCGCAGTCTGTCCCTATGTATGCTTAAATCTCTAAAACTACGCAACGGATTTTGATGCGGTTTCTTTTAAAAGATAGAGTGATTCAAGAGGAAGGTTTATATGTATAATACATGCATAATGTAGTAGAGAAACACTGATAATTTTAGAGATTTCTAATGTGATGTCGTAAATAAACACATTTTTTGCCCTTACAATTACAATAACCATTTTTTTATTTTACTTTTTATGAGAAATGACTTATTTACGAAGCAATTGTAGGCATTACAGCATTAATTCTTATCCAATTAAGTACTTTTAAATACATTGTGCATTTAATATAGATCAATATGGCCCTTTACAGCATGTAATTTAAATGAATATTTTCGAAGATATTACAGACTTAAAAT